ATGAATGGGAACGTAAGCAAACGGCAATTTAAATATGATTCCAGCGAAAAGGAACGAGAAATAGATGGCAGCGCGCCGAGCGCATCAACGAAGCTGCTCAACGACACGACCAGGACGACGACGGAAGCGCGCGTGGACGACGCCGACCAGCTGAGGTGGCCGAGCCGGCCTTTGTGCGCGTACCCACGCCATGCTTGCTGAGCCGCGGCCCAGACATCAATCACGATCACAGACAATCACGCTCCACCCGGCATCGGCGACCGCGCGCGCCGGTCCACGTCCTTGCCCTTCTTCTTGCTCTTTTTCTTGTCACCTCCCTTCTCCACCTTCTGCTGACGACCGTCTTGGGCGGGCCGTGCTTCCACGGGCCCGCCCGCCTGGCGTCACCGGCCACCCGCCGGTCGTGCCGGAACTGCGGTCCCCGACCCAGTCGCCGTCCCGGGCCACGCGCCAGGCAACGGCGCGCTCCCGTTCGTCAGCGACGTGGGCGACATGGGCGCGTTCGGTGCGGCGACCGCGACGGTACTCGCGCGCGGGACCTGCAGAGTGGTGGGTCGTTGAACCGGACGCGTGGGCGCCGTGGGTCGGGTCGGCCGCTGCGGCACCGCGAGCTGCTCCTGCAAGACCGTCGGCGGGCGGTGCTGCTGCTGTTGCTGCTGCTGCTGTTGCGGCTGCATCTGTTGCTGCGCGGTCGTCGCGGGACGCGGCGGTTGCGGCGACGCGGTCGGACGTTGGGGCTGCGACGGGCGAGCGACTGGCACCGGTGTGGCCGTAGGTCGCTGCTGTTGTTGTTGCTGGAGCGGCGGGAGAACAGGCACTGCCACGGCCGGCTTCATGGCGAGCGGAACGGCAGGCCCACTCGCGCCCTTCATCGCGAGCCCATGCACCTGAACCGCGAGTTGCAAGTCGCCCGCGACGCCCGTGAGCGTATTCCCGGCCTCGACGAGCTCGTCGTGGAAGTCGTCTGCGGACAAGAGCTTCTTGAGCTTGGATGCGCCCGCCATCTTGGCCGTCATGTCGCGAACGTGCTGCAACGTGTCGAGGAGCAGTTGCGCAGGCCCTTGCAGGTGTTGCGGCAGAACCCCACCCGACAGGCTTGCGGCCCTGGCGAGCGTGTCGTGCAAGTTCTTGCTGCGGCGCACGAGCACATCGAGTAACTGCTGGTTATCCTTGGTTGTTTCGAGCGCGGCTTGCAGCGCAACGAGCGCCGTTAGGAGATCAGTAATGTGTGCAAGCGTCGTGCGCGCAAGCGCGGCCGCGGCGAGCTCGACGACTACCATGGTTGATTTGCGTGCTTGGTGCCAGAGGGTATCTCGGCGGGTATAGGCGAGCGAATTGCAGGGAGAGAGCGCGCGCGGGCCTCACTAGGATTTATAGATTGCTGCTCGACGACCAAGTTGGTTGCGGTCGGATTTGACCAGGCACGCGCGCCAAGCCAAGCGGGGCGACCTGCCAACCACTTCGACCACCACTGTGAACAGCCAAACGAGCGCGACCGAACCGGTCACAGCGATTGTTCGACTGTGCTGCGTGCTGACGCACGTCATGTTCACGGCCCAGGGATTGCGGTTCATTTTATTGGCGTGCCCGTAAACAAAAACGTGTGCTTCAGGTGGAAAATGGCAAGCGGCGCGAGGTGCTTCTTGCAATGCTGCAGGCCTTGAGGCCTCGAGCGCGAACTGCACGGACTGTCGCTCGCGAAATAAAATCTGTGAGCAGTCATATATAAACTATGTAATCCGAGACGGAGCTCACGACGACGACGACGGCGCTGCTGTTGCCGCCGCCGGGGTGCTCGTCACAACGGGCTTCAGCTGGTCGTCGAACCCAAGCCGGTGCAAGTCCTTGCGCGTCTCGGCCTCGTCGCTCTGCGTCTGCAGGTGGTACATGTCCATGAATCCGTCGACGGCGAGCATGATCTCGGGCAGCTTGGCGTCGTCGGCGAAAAACTCTTGGATTTGGTCGAGCGTGTCCTGGTCAAACTCGCGGTCGTTGGTGGCCACGGCAAACGCTTGCAGCTCGGTCACGTTCAGATAACCGTCCTTGTCGGCGTCAAACCGCGCGAAGATGGCCCTCTATTGTCGTGATGAGAGGGAAAATGCCAAGGCAGGTCGGTCAGTGTCGGGAGTAATAGGTTTGGTGGGCCGGCAAGCGGGCCTGGCAACACACCAGCGCCGCCTCGAGTGCTGGCGTAATCTCGTCGTTGTCATCGAGCAGGACCGCTGGAGCGGGGCGACGGTGAGCGGGACCGGCCATGACGATTTTGCAGCTACTGCACGGACGGCGTGTCGCAAAAGCGGCGTGGAAAAACGAGGGGCATGCGGCCGCTCACTCTCTCCCCGACAACGTCTCAGCTTGAGCTATTGGATTTGAACCTGCGCTGCACAGCAGCCTCACTTCGTGCCCTGCGACCTTTCGGACCAGTTTCTCGTCGACTCACGAGTCGAATGAGTCGGATATATATTGTCGTCCACCACCGGCGCTCCTTGATGCCCCTTGATCGACCTTTTCTGTGCAGGACGCACTCGGCATCGTCAGCTCATACCTACAAACAGAAGCGGGCACGATGCCTGTTGATGACAACCTGAGCTTGATGATTGTTGTGATGGGCGAAAAGGCTGGCAAGGCAATCAAAACCAATTTTCAGAAAAGCATGAACCAACACCTGTAACATGACTGACTGTGCGCCAGCTGGATTTGTACCCACATAAACACTTGCCTGTCAATTGTAGGTTCTGATCCAGACTTTTAGTCATCCACAGCCCAGTATCTGAGAGAGCGACAATGATCTGCAAAATCAGGCTCTTCTGCTGAATGATGACCACAAGACACTCTGGGGAGGGTCATCGAGTGTAACTCATCCAGTTCCCAAATGCAAGTCCGCCCAAGGAAGCAAAATGAGTGTCAGGACATTTTGCTTGCAATCATTGAAGATGTGCTCCTTAGCGACAACGACAGGATTCGAACCTGTGCAGGCAGAGCCTAATTGATTTCTAGTCAATCTCCTTAACCACTCGGACACGTTGTCGGACTTCTCCAGATTTTACTGGACTTGTCTGGAAAATTTCTGCAACCTATATATTGTTTTGAGGCCTCAACACTCTAAAAAGCAGAAAACGTTGTTTTTTTCGACTTGTAAACGCCCTCAAACGTGTAATACAAGAGCCTTTGATAGATTTCTTAGTGCACGCACCAACTTGCCCTCATTCTCAAGCATGCCCAACAATATCAGCAATGGCCAATCAGAAGTACAAAACTTGGTGAAATTTCGTGATAATTAAGGCCAATCAAACTTGACGCTCTGAAAAAGTGCATTATCACATAAAGCCGCATTTTTCATGTTTGATTTGGCCAGCGGGTATAGCAGGCAACATGGCATCAGAACTTGATTATTGCATGATTGCTTACTGGCATCAGAACTTGACAGCACATAGTTACTTTGCAAACCTGAATACCTTTTTCCAAGACTCTTGGCAGCAACAATAGCGGAAGTTTGGAGCATGGCTGCAACAAAATGACAACCCAAGAACGGTTGGATGGCCAGGCCGAACCTCAGAGCCGAATCGGTGAGCATTAACTTGGGGGCGAATCGGGGTTCGAACCCGAGACCTCTTCAACCCAAATGAAGCATGCTACCACTACACTATACGCCCTTGCCCCATGTGGCGGCTACCACGATCACCTGCGCCGACGTCACCAAGTGGAAGGAGCCGTTCCCGCCGCGCACCGTGCCCGTGCCCGCGCGAACTGCCGACCAGGCCGTGCCCCCGCCGCGGTCCAAGGTGCCGACCCCCGCGCGCCGCGCTCGTGCGCGTCATGGACGCGGTGCCGACTGTGATCCAGTTGGAGCTGCACTTGCCGCATGTTCGTGACCTGGTCAGACAGGAAAGCAGGGTAAGATAACAGGCACGTCTAGGCGTGGTATGTATTTGAATTGCGATCCCAACAAAAAGAACAAAAAATGAATTTAGCAAAAAGCATTTTGAACGCAAAATGATCGGCGCAGCACGCGCGGCCGGTCGCAGATGGCGAGTACCTAGGACCGCTCACGACGTCGCTGGACGCAGTGTGGGCGATGCCGCGCGCGGTGGGAGAAGCCGCTTCCGGTACAGGCGAGGTCACTGGCAATGCTGTCGGTGCCGTGCGCGGGGATGCGGGGGGTGGTTTTGCTGGTGTGGGTGCGCTCGGTGCAGCAACTGCCGATATCGGCGGATTTGACGCGGTCGTTGCTGGAGCTGCTGCAGTGGCGGTGGGCGACGATCAGAAGCGGACGAGAGGCCCATCCGCGGCGAGCGTCGGTGTCACGGGCAGACAAGCGGAAACTCGTTCGTTACTCGTAGCAGTTGCAGGTGCCGATCCAACCGCTCTACTTCGGTCTCACCACGCGCCCGCCGCACCCCCGATCGCGGCCGTCCCGACCGACGAGCCGTCGGCGACCTCTGCGGCGGCTGGCCCACGCGCGAGTTACTGGTCCACGGCCACGCGTGCCGCGCGCCCCCACCACCGCCACTCGCACCCGCCGCCGCCCCCTCCCCACCCGGTCCCGTGGGCGACGGCGGCATTGGCGGCGGCGGCGACGCCGGCGGCTGTGGTGACCACAATGTGCTCATCCTTGTCCACGTCCACGACACGGGCCGGATCACGAGCGCCGACGCGCGCGCGCGCAGTCCACCGCCCGTCGCGTGTTCCTGCTCGGTCGTGTCGTACCGCGGCAGCGTATCGACAACGACTGAAGTCGTAGTCTGCAGCATGCGCCGGTCGGCCTTGAGCAAGTGCCGCTCGCGCCGGGCGAGCGGGTGTTCCTTGAGCCGGCGCAGCCGGCGACGGATGACCGAGATGGCGAGGCCCGCGGCGACGAGGATGGCGAGAAAGATGGCCGACCGTTGTGCCCAGGCGCCTTGTTGGCCGGAGTTGCCACGGATCCTGACGGGGATGCTGGTGGCCGTCGGGATCGGGTTTGAGGTTGACGTGGGGAAAATCACGGTCACGGCCATCATCCACTCGGAGCTGTTCGGGTAGACGATCTTGCCGTAGGGGTTGCCAGCGGTGATTTCCGTTCTCAGCGCGCCGTTGATGCCAGAAAAAGTTGTGACGAGCGGCGTCGTGGACGGCGACGGCATCGCGACGAGCCAGGAGGTGCTGCGCGCCGTGCTCGTCGTCGTCGTTGGTGCGGGCGCGGCCATTGGGATCGGCGCTGCAGTGGGGGTGACGGCACCAGCACCGTCAGGTCCGCCCGCGGCGGGCGTCATTGTGGGGACGGCCGGGGTCAACGAGTCGGAGCTCGCGCTCATCGTGGCGAGGTCGTGCGTGTGGTCGTGACGGTGGAGCAAGCGTGCGTTGGACTGAGATTGTGCTGGACCGTGTCGTCGCGATTGATGCTGGCGCTGAGATCACACGTTGCTGCTCGTGCTGCTGCTGTAATCCTGGTCGTCGTCGTCGTCCTCGCCGTCGCCGAGCTCGACTGGCCGTGCGTGCAGTCGGTCGCCGTGTCCGGGAACTGCAGCAAGTCGGTCCTCGTCGTTCTTGTCACCCGCGTTGATCAAACAGGTTGCAGCAGGTCGCAGGAGCGCCGGTGTGTGTCGAGGCCAGGCCCCGTGCTGGTTTTAGTTTGCTGGAAGATGGCTGACGACTTGGCCGCCAAGTGGAGAGGAGTCGGGGAGCGCCCGTCTCTGCGTTTCGTTTTGGCCGTATATCGCCGCGACAAGCGCCCGGCCGCACAGCCGGCGCGCCTGGCGACTGGCGCCAGCGGCGTTGCGCGCGGCGCCACAGGACGACGCGTGCGCGGCCATCCGTGCTCTCCGCGTCGTTGGAATCTGTCTCCCGCGGCGTTCATCCAAGGTCGGTGCGACCATCCGCGCTCTCGCGACGATTGTCGTGCAGTCATGAATCGCGTCCGCAGGGCTTTATTATACATTCCTCTCCTCTTCTCGCGCGAGCTCTCTACGGGCACGGCGAGACCACCGAAAAATACGCATCAATCACGTCCTCCTCGTCGGCGACACTCACCGTCCCCTCCGCACCCACCTGCGCCGCCATGGGCGGCGCCGGCGCCGGCCGCTTCGCCGCGCGCCGCGCGCGCATCCCCTCCACTCCCGGCACGGGCCCGACCAGCGGCAGACCCATCCCCCCGGGCGTGACGGGCGTCACCGGCGCCGGATCCTCGCGATCCGCGACCGCCAACGCCATTTCCGCGGCCTTCGGGCCCAAATGGCGCGCTTGGATCTGCGCGAGCGCCGCATGCAGCAGCTTCAATTCCGTGGCCGTATCGCTCACCGGGCGGTCGGTCGTGACCGTCGACGACGCCGTGGTCGACGTCGTCGCGGTGCTCGCGGCCGACGGGCGGCGCACGCGCGGGACATAGGGCTCGCGCCACACCGACGACGACGCTATCGACCGGGTCGGCGAGACCGGGACCGACGCCGTGGTCACGAGGTGGCTGAACGCCGACGGCTGCGTCGGCGGCTCGTCGAGCGTCGCGATACTGCCGGACCGGCCGCGCGCCAGGATCGTCTCGCTCTCGTCCACCGCGCCGCCGCCGGATCGGTGTAGCGATGCCCAGATTGCTTTGATTTTATCTGATCTTTCGTCCGCTTTTTCTACGTATTCTCGTTTTTTGTTATGGCTCGCTGAGCATT